CGGACGGACGGACGGACGGTCGGATGAATCGTTGAGGTCTGAAAGCAGGCAATCTCCGAGAACCGGAATTTCTTCTCACTTATTATTCTTCGGAACCATTCGATTGTTAAGTCAAAGTAGCTCTTTATTTTGGTCACCTACTCTGGTTCAGGTTGAGGAATGGCCGCATCCTTCGTCAACGCCTCCTGTTTCGCTCGAATACCCATTAATGCTTACTCATCTGGACTTGAGTCGAGCTGTATTTGCAGATCGAAGCCTTTTAGTGAAAATAATGAATGGCTGTTCACAGCTGCAGGTAAGATTGCTTGGAAAGATTTCTTTGAAATAGGTTTCACTTTTTGGGACGGAGAACATTATTCTTTCCAAGGTAATATTGAAGTACATTGGCTTTTACAGGCGTTATCAATGGAAGGGCAGGATATGGGTCAGGACGCGCCCACAATTTGTTTTGCAATTAGCTGTAATCCTGCTCTAACTCGCCTTGATCTTTCAATGACAATGGGAATAAATGCTGCTTGCGCGCGGCTAATATCTAAAGGCTGTGTAATGTGAGGCATTTTAGTTTCAAAGCATAATTTGCTGATATTCCACTTCCTGACGAATCTCCGGTCAAGACGATTTAATTATTCCAGTCTTCAACATTTCAATCTCTCATGGAGCAGCTTGGACCAAGAGGCAGTGCTCGCTTTCTGCTCAAATTTACCGTCCACGGTGACAAGGTTGAATATGGCAGGAACCTTGAACAAATCGGCTCTCGATGACAATGGTTCGTTCTCTAATCAAAATTTCGAGCCAATGATGTGGCTGTTTCTAAGTATTTCTGTTTAGCGGTAGAGCGGCTTACCGCATCTTGTCCGAATTTAAAGGAGTTGGATTTGTCTGATAACATTGTCGTGACAGAAAGAGGTCTTCAAGCCCTCAACTCTCTGCCTCAATTAGAATCGCTATCTCTAAATAGATGCTATGGAATACCTCCGATGAATTTTTTGTGAGTTTAATAATTTGGTCCTTACCACCATGGCTCACGGCCGTTTTTAGTTATGTAGTTGGTCTATGGTCCTATTTACGCTTTCCTTGGCAGTGACTCCGAAAGCGTCTCCTTTATGTTCATTCTTTCTGTGACTTTAAAGTAAACTGCATAAGCAGTTTGTTTGCCCTACTGTTCTCGAAGTTCAATGGCCAACGAATGTCACCGAAAGTTTGATCCTAGCACTTTAATTAATTTCCGAGTTCATGTCATTCGGCAACTTTTTGTTTGGATCACTGTCCGCCAATACCATAAGAGATATACCACGATGCGTTCTAAACGGCTGTTTTAGGCTCTGTGGTCATCTATGCGTTTTAAATGTCTTTGGATGTATCACAGATTCAGGGTTGATAGCTTTGAGGAATGGGCTGGCAGATACCGAGGTTCGTTGTTGTTCTATGTTGAATCATGCTGTTTTCAGTGATTATTCTGATTTTGTTTACGTTTACTACTTTATTTTCTTGTATTTCAGAGGTGTGTTTAAACACTTTAATTCAGATTTCTGTTTCTGTAACAGAACATAACATTATAGGTGAATGGTAACGTTTTCAACTACATCGCGAAGCCAACTGTTCCGCCTGCTGTAACCAGCATATGGGGACAGCGTACAAAAGATTTTTACTAATTCCAGTTAACTCTGATGGTGGAGCCCGCTGTTTCAAAAATCTCAATTTTGGTTTGTGATCTCTTTCTTGTTTGAAATAACCTGTGATATTAACTGGTTACAGAACGTAATGTCCTCAGTAGACAGAAGCTGTCAAGTTGTCTGAAATATTTTTCACCTGATTTAGTTTCAATGCTCATGAATACCTTCGATCTCAATCATCTCTTAATTCATGGCTGGTTCACTTTTTGAATGCCCAGGAAGTGCATATGCTCAATTTTGCATGATTCAATTTCACTTTTTTGAGATTCTTCGCTTGTGTCTTACTTAACAATCCTGATTTTTGAATGGAAGTCGAAGTTCTTGTATATCATTCAGAATTTATAAATGTTGTCCACAACGTTGTAGCGTTAACTTTTCAAGTGACTGCAATGGGTGTCAGGACAAAGTATTTATGTTGAGCAAGCTTACACAATTTCTGATTCTGTTCTAACTTGCTGGTCATCTGATGCCATACTGCTTTCCAAGTTACGGGGTTAAACGGCATGAAACGTACGAGATCGGAGCTTTATGTGAGTCCGAATATTTTGGTAGGGGGCAGGGGGAGGGGTTGTTCTGCTCATAATTCTGCTGTNGAGGATTGAGCGATTGAGTGGATAGTGCTTACAAAACTCTTGTGACTAACACATATTTGCTGGGCCAAGTAAGAAATGGCATGTGATTGCTGGCATACTGTTTCCAGGAGCTAGTTTTATTTTTATTTTGTATTTGTTTGTTTATTTATTTTTTATTTTTATATTTCATGAAGCATTCTATCTATGCAGTGCGTTGTCACCTATCAGCACCGTCAATGATCCCTTTGAAGTGTTGCCCAACTAGTATGTATATATTGTGACCTAAAAATAAAGCTTTGTGATGTAAGATTTGTGAAGGTCACGACAATTCCCCTGGGTCCCACTTTTTCGCTGGTAATCGTGAAGGGGAAGGGTCCCACTTCATAGAGAAAGTGATGGGTCTCGATTGGGAACTTAATCACCCTTTGTGGTTTACGAGCAATGAACTAATTCATTGAACTTAATCTAATGTGAGCCATTTAAATGAAAGCTTCAGATATCCGTCTTAATCCCGGGAAGAAGTTACTAAAGGTAACCTAAGGTTCAAGTCCTGTCTATTTTTCCTCTCGCTCTCTATAATTTACCATTTTATTTTTCAATATGGCCAAATTGATTACATTTATTTCCCACTGCCTACATATACAACAGCTATTCGTCAACGATATGTGGTGGACAATGATTGCAGAATCGTGTTCGTTCACTTGATCGCCATGGAGCCCCTTCACCGACCAGTGCGTGCGATTTTTTTACTGACTCTGCAAAACATCATTAAAACATCTGAATTGCATTAGGGAGCCCCTGTCTGACGTCAACATGGGAAAAAAGTGGGAGGAAAAAGATTCTATCGAAGTCTATTTACCTGCATCCAGATCCCCAAATGCCAGCATAAGATGGTATTCACCAGAAGATATTTGATGCATCTAAAATCAAAAAGTTGACGGATTTTTTTCAGTCAAGCTCAAAAATTAAGTCAAAACGTTTTTGTAAAGCAAGTGGCGAGTGGAGGTTGATGGAGGAATGCAAGTCTTCCGGGACGTCGAGGGGCATCCCTCGGGATAGGAGCAGATGTGGGCATCTAGGATGGCTTCGCTGGCTTCAGATTGGGTAGCTGGAACTTCAACTTTCTCGGGAAGTCAGTCGTCATGATAATTGTCATGTAAAGAGCCCGTGATCACTGCTTGCTGTTGGAGGAAATGAGCTCAAAATCAAAATTACACCCATGATCGGGGATAATGACCGATCGAGCAAGGTATTGCCAGTAGTCGAGGAGTTCCTGTTCGCTTATCTCACCAGCATCTTGCTAATGTGGGACTTTTATGAGGGAACAACGCTTCTGACAACGAGTTGAACAGAAACAAACCATTTTCTTTTCACTTGGCTCCAGAACGGTGAAATCAAGCATCAATTCGGCTCCACACATCACTCGACCATCACGTTCTTCAGCATACGAATCCCTTAGCAGTGTTGCGGTGGCCTGAAAGACTTCTTCTGGTGAAAAAAAAGTTTCTTCTATGAACTAGTTCAATTAAATAGTAGAAGTCGTTTCGCTTCAATTCAGACGGATAAGCTGTTTCGGATGCAAGACTACAACCATACCGCTGGTAGCATTAGGTTGGTTAGCTGGAGATTGTGCGATAGATGTACTGCTGCTCTCCCTTTACGAGGAAAATGACATTCGAATACAGTGTCGTCACCCTGAAAGATACGAAATATTATGGTCCTTTCTTGAAATCTTAGCACTCCAAGGAAGGATGGCAACATAGTCATAATCTTACCATGATGTCGTCTTTTGAGATTCCCACAGCTAGCCATAGTCCATTGTCCACAACTTTCAGCTTTGCCTAAAAAGTTTTTCTTGTTGACTGAACAATTACAATTCAAGAGCAGCTTCCACTGAAACGAGCATTTCGATATGTAAGCTTCTCTTAGAGGCGGCATCAACTGTTTCTTTCAAAGTTTGCGGTCATGTCATCTGACGATATGGGAATTGCCCTACTCTATCACGTCCGATTATTCCCCGATTAGGCAGTCATCCCAGTTGGTTGAAATCAACAGTATTTTAATAATTTTATCTTCGAAGGAGATTTTTAATTATTATCTGAAACGGCTACGATACCGCCCAAACTATAGATTTTTCGCTCCTTTACACTCGTTCCGTCGTAGGACCGTCTGGTCTGACTAAAATAGGGCTGGTCTCTCGATGGTTGATGCGTAATGGGTGTGAAAAATGACAAGTAGCACTAATAAGCACAATTCACAAGTAATCTCCAAGTAGTTAAGGTTCGTATGGACCAGCCTAATGAGTTTAATCAGCGCCTGAATAAAGGGAAGTTTGTTAAGTACTTCCACTGGAACTCACTTCCATTTCAATGAGAAGCGATCTCCCGGTGTGTTTCCATGTGATAGCCGCCGAGCAGTCGGACGAGTTCTTGCATCCATTCGGTAACAGCCAACATCCTCGACTCATTCCACAATCACTGACATGTGTGACATGAAAGCCAACTATCCCCTAAAAGTGCTGAAGACTCGCTAAAGTGAATGTTCTCTCTGAATAATACACTTTGTAAGGTCGTTCACGAATAACACAGGCGCATGTTAGCTATAGGAGGTCGAAAGGGTTCATATTCTTTAAGTGGCTCGGTCGGTAGTCGTCTCGAGCACACGAGAATATCATTACTGGATATTACCCATTTGCGAAAATGAAAGCATTCTTTGAATGGGTTTGAAATTCGCTTCAAATGTACGGTACTAAATGTAGTAAAGAATTAGATTGGTGAAGCCTCTAACGTTAATCGATCCCATTTTGAGATGCGCCACTCATTCGACTTCCATTTGAAATCTTGGCTAAAGCGAGTATCGTAGCAGTTCGAATTCCCGGCATCGATACAGGGAAGGTTCTTGTACTTGCGTTCAAGCATTGCCTGACATGCTTGAACAAAACGCATCTCAAAGAGGGCTAATTCCCAAGACCCGAAGAGAGAGAATCTATCACTAAAGGAGTCATGACTCGGAAAATTTCCTCCTCTCCTCCCACTCTCAGGTCCTCAGCGATGTTGTTTCGTGAACGAAGCCCTTAAAAAAGGCTCTTGCTCAAAACATAGTTCCAATAGCTCCAATACCGCATATCATACATCAAGCCAACTGAATGGTTTAAAAAAAAACATTCTTCGGCTAACCTGAATGTAGAATAAAACTAGTCCAGCAATAAATATCATCGATGGTTGGGCAGACACCTAGAGAAAAGAAATAAAGAAATAAGGAGTAAAATAAGCAGCTTGATATAAAGAACGCAAATTTTCAGAAGAATCGATAATAGTCAGAAAATTCTTTGATTTAGTCTAGTGAGCGGTGTTCCTTAGACGCACGAGTTATGTTCATTTTTCAGTACCGAATTTGATTTGCCATCAGTCTGATGCTCTTTCAAGAATTACCCCGCTGTGGCCCCTCATTTTATGCCGAAAGGAGCTCTTGTTCTAGTTACAGAATTGCAATATCAAAACCCCAATTCCTTTTGGGGTGCTCCCTGTATCCCTGTCTAACCAGAATCGTAGTGGCCTGGGCAAAGACTTGCAGTGACCATCTCATGTACAAGACAGTGCTTTTATTCTACCAGTTAAGTCTGGCACCAGTCAAGTGAACGTGGGGGAATGGAAGGCCTAGTGGGCCTTCCATTCCCCCAGGTCCCAGGTGGTGGATCTGATATCTATTCGAGATTTGATCCCGGCTCAAGCGTTGTGATAGTGCACCACTTACCACTACGCCATCTATCCTTCTGTAAAAAGGCCTGTTCTAATAAAAGAAAAAGAATTCGAGAACTCTTGGAATTGAAAAAACGCTCAATAACCATGCTTGTGAATACCCACTTCTTGTAGTGAATTCAATGCGTCTATTGGCTCACTATTTCAACTAAGAAGAGGAGTATATTCAATACTATAGTATACTGAAAGCAATCAAAACAGCAATAGGAGGGAGCTAGTAAAAGAATAATACACGCCTTTTATAGTGTTCCTATACAAGTTCTTGTTGTTATTTGTTTACTGCGAAGCTGGCGTTTCGTTTTCGTGGGGGCGTTGGAACAACGACTACGTGAAGCACACGTAAACGATGCTATCGGTCAGTTTCTTCCCTGTACAACTGTCACCCCCGTCGCCTGCGTTGACATCGTTAACCATCGCTGGCCAGAAAAGCTTCATTCAGTCGATTGATATACAATATTAACACGTAATTCTTCAATAACATCATCATATCAACAACAACTGCTGACATTTTAATAAAAAAAAAGACAGTAATGTGAAGAAAACAAGGGAACAATTCAATGTTGCAATTATTAGCCCTCCCAGGAACGATACGGATCCATTGGGCAGTCGTACAAGAGACTGGCAAAGGACATGACCAAAACAGAGCGCTTGGAAGTATCATTCTTTGCCTTCACCGTCCTCCGCAACATCCTTACATTGTGTGGCTAGGAAATCACGAACTCCTTTGGAAATTCCTCCATCAGCTGCGGGATCCTTGAAAAAAAGGATAGAGAAGAGATAAGGGTGAGTTG